TTACACACACACACACACACACACACACACACACACACACACACACACACACACACACACACACACACACACACACACGGTGCAGAAACATTCAAGTTAGACCTAATTCTGACCAATCACACATATTCCAAAAATAAAAACTTAGCACAGTCTAAGAAACGCTGTCACACTCATACGGTCTCCCTCAAACCTAAAGCAGATTTTCTCTTATCCTTTAGGAATTACTCTAGATCAAATCACAACTTAATTGGGATAAAGAAAGCCGAGGCTTTGAGAGGCTGTCTGCGATGTTGGAACAGATTAACGGACTGATATTAAACAAACAAGACTCACGGATGAAAGCAAACGCTTGACCTCTTGTCTCCATCTGTAATCAATTAAAAAAACAGTAGGCTATGACCCAACAGAAAACAAAGAGAAAAAAGAAGAAGAAATGTTTTATGCACAGTGACACTGCAGTGACACCCTCATCTATATCAGTCCTGATGCAGAGTGATCAAATACTCATGGTTGTCCTGCTTTGCTTTCGCCGTCTCTCTCTCATTTACACAGAGGCATCTTTGTTGATCTTCTATTTCTTTTCAGAGAGTCTGAGTCAGTGCACTCCTTCTCCCACTAGGGGGCAGGTTACTCATCAGTTTCTCTTCCTGAGTTCTGTTTTGTCCTACAGCGCAGAGATTTTCACCACATCAGTGCCAGTGTTCGGAAGAGGCGGAGCGTCTGGGTTGGGAGGGGGCGGAGCGTCGGGACTGGCTCGAGAGTTGTTTGAGGGAGGGGTTGGGATACTGATGATTGCCGTGGTAACCAGTCCACTGCTCTTGCAGTTCAGACTCCCTGATTCATCTGACATCAGATTGAGACTGGAACGACTGAGACAGAGAGAGAGAGAGAAAAAGACAGCGGTCTTAAAACTCTTTTCATTCTCTCTTGTTTATTTAATTTGGCTACTAACTGTTTATTAAATGTCTCTTGGACTAACAGAGGACATGCATGTATCACTTATTTTAATCTAAACCAACAAATGTCATCTGTATTTTTTTATGTATTTTGTTTGAAAATATCTGTGGGTGGAAATTATTCATTTTGAAATGTTAATAAAATGGCAGATTCCTTAGATTTGCTAAGGTTAATTTCAAAGGTAGCATTTCATAAATCATAAACATAATAATAAACACACATTTTGCCTTATTTGACAGAAATTAGAGCTTGATTGGAAATGATGCATCAAATATGCAGTTATATACATTTTAACCCTTGAGATTATATACTTTATATTTTATTTTTGGGGCCCCATGAGACCCTAATAATAATATGAAAATGGTTTATGTTTATTTTACACTTTGTGTTTTTTTTCAAATTGTGGAAATTAATATTTTCACATAGTTTAAGGTTTAAAGTCTGGGCCTGTGACAATGGTAAACAATTAAAATTATACATTAAAAAGCATTTTAGAAGGAGCAAAATGTTGAAGGCATGGTTATTTGTTTTTGTATAACATGTCATGTGACCTTTATATTCACCTTAGTTGTAAATCAAAAGTAAGCTATTTTCTGTGAATGAGTGAGACTTCTGTTTATTAGCCACTATGGAGAATAAGTATAACCATTGTAAAACTATTTGTGCTATACACTTGTGTGTTTATGATTATGATAATACATTAAAATGATATGATAACAAATACCAGTTTGTAACATTAAGCAGCATAACAAACTGTTTTTGTACAGCTAAAATAGCTGGAAGCTGATGACACCGTAAGACTTGCACATTAGAGTCACAAATGGCTGCACCTGATCTAATGTAAAAAAAATACTAATAATAAGGTGGATAATATAAAAAAGTTGAAGTCTTTTAGCTCTAATAAACATCAACTCTTTGAACAATGTTGTGCATGAAAAATGAGTGCTAACCTGGTGTTTAGTGGTTGCTGTTCCCCACACTGGATGTGTAATGCGCTGAGCTCCTGCAGGTTGTGTGTGTGTGTGGCACTGAGAGGCTGCATGTTCTTCTTGGTTCTCCGAGAGCAGCAGGTGCCAGTGATGCCCTCTTCACTGGAGAGAGATGGACTCTGCGATGGGAAGTTCTGTAGTGCTGTCTGCAGGTACCCCTGTTCATACAGCCGCTCGTCCACAAACTCATGATTCTGTTCACAGAAACACGAAGATTATTGCTTTCTGATGTTTTATTTACTGTCATAAGCCTTTTTCTCTTATTCCCTTTACTTCAAAGACTTTGCAAGCATGTTAAACACTTAAATATAAAAGAGAATATGAAACAACATTGATGCATTTTTACTTCAGTAATGCATAACAAATGAGAACAAATCAGAATCAGATCAGTTCCTTTTTATGGCAGTTGTGTTACATAAGATGAATTTGTGGATGTATTATTAAAAGCATCTCTAAAGAGAATATTCAGTGGTTATTATTGTAGGGTGGGACTTGATTTGATTGAATTGGCAAAGTGTGAAACTACTATAATATTGGTCAATATATTTTTTCCATGTCCACGTGAAGGGAATTGCAGAGGAAGAGAAAATTATTACATTTTGATGAAAGATTATTAAAACAAACTTTTTTTCTATTGTCTTAGACATGACACAATAAAGCATAGCCTAGAGCAGGGGTAGGCATGTTCGGTCCTAGAGAGCCGCAGTCCTGCAGAGTTCAGCTCCAACCCTAATCAAACACACCTGAACAAGCTAATCAGTGCCTAGCTAAATTTTGTATGTCGTACCTACTTTTAAATATCAACTTTGTGTTTTGTGTAAAGATATTTTGATAATATTTATAAATAGTTTAACTGACATGGTTTTAATTTAACATTTACATTCATTTACATTTGTTAAAGCGGCTCCAAGTATTGTAGCATTTAAAAGGTTAAAATTGTATTTCAAACCTTAAAGCAACTGAAAAATACTTAATCCCTAATTAATTTGTTATAATTTGCGTTTACTTGTTTCATTTATTATGTGTAAATAATTTTTTTGTCATAGGCTATTTTCTATAGGCTATTATGTCTTTTTCAATGTATGATGCTTGGATTTATTGTTATTCGATTATCATTAAATGATAATGCCTGTTTGTTTTTTTGAAAATGAAAAGGTTTATTATTCAAAATAGAGAGGAGGTGTGATTGATTGTGGGAGTTGACAAACACTGGATTACACACGACAAATCCCTCAAATTCCACAGAGAAACGCAAAAAATGATGGCGTCTGGAAAAGCATCGCGGATGTCATGAAAATACAAGGTATGTGCATGCTTTATGCTGTGAGAGAGAGCAAACAGTGAATATTTCCGATTTATTGTTTTTTTTGGTGCATCACGCCCCAGTTTCTGTTCTTTGCTTGTGGCTGGAAACTTGTTATACAAATTATACAAATAGTTTAAATAGTGTTAATTTGAGATATGACTAACTTGAGAGAGATTCTTTCTTTTCGAAACTCTGAATCTGTTGAACCAGTTGTTTCGCAAAATTCACTGTTTCGAAGCATAAATGATTCACTGTAAAGAAACAGTGGGACGTTAAATGGAATGAAAACTCAAGACCAAACATGCATAATTGCAGATTTTACAAACCAATTGCAAATGTTTCCATTAAAGTGTAATCTACGAATAACTGATAAATGCCATTAAATATGAAGGTTCTGTAAAAATGTGTGTTCTTTTTTTAATGCGTAGTGCTTGTTTTGCGTGTCATTAGGCACGGCTTGGCAAACTAGGGCAATTAGAATCAATTAACTATCTTTCTCCTTTTTGTATTATACACACTTAAGTATTAAAATTCATTAAATTAATTTAAAAAATACCTAGCCTACATATAAAACTGACCTGAAATCAGCTAGACACTTGTTAATGGGTTTACCAAGTCAATGGCATCTAGTGCGAAGTCTATGAATTTTGAAATGTTTTGAAACCAAGTGTCAAAACAATTATTATGAAGCTTCGTTTGTTGAAATCGTGTGACTTGGCGAGTTTGAGGCACATTCTGAACCACTGATTCGAAGCAAAGGATTTGTAAAGTTTCAAACGCAGCCACCACTACTTCTGACTGACCGTGGTCTTCTCCAGGCAGTGCAGAAGATGGTGATGTTGACTCTCCAGCAGAGATGTGGTCTTCTTCAGTTGTTGGTCCTCCTCCAAGGAGCCCTACAGAAACACACAGACAGACATTCACATAATTTTTAAGGAATCACCACATTTCATGCGTGAATAATGAAGTGGAGAGAGGGACAGAGTGTGTGTTGTTTGGCTCTGTACCTGTGGTGAAGGTTTCATCTTGTAATAGGGGAGCTGCTGTTGTGTAAGCGTGGGAGGGAGAGACATGGAGAGTGGTTTACTGCTTTTGGAAGGAACTTCATCCATAACAGAGCAGCACAATATATCATCCATAACTTAAATAAACAAAGCTTGAGAGAAAGGAAGGACGAGGGGCCTCAGAGGATTGGGTGAATCAGAGTGATTCCACTTTTCTGTTTCACAAATCCAATGGTACGGTTACTAAAACTCCACATATCTGTCTCTTTTATTGTAGAGCTTTTGCCTGGGAGCTTGTGCTCGTGTACTGGGCCCTCCGGCTGAACGCACATACACTGCTCCACATTTTCACCATTTCCACAACGTCTTAACACAACGTGAGCACCAAAATAACATGAGTGAGTCAGTGAGTGATGTGTGGGAGGAGAGAGAGAGAGACGGAAGGAAAAAGAAAGATATTGATAGAAATGAAGAGAGAGCAAAATTAGGCATCTTACAGTAACATACCCCGAGTACTCTTATTCTGAGCAGACTGCATGTTTGCATGTGATCTGCGTGGTATTTATGAGCTATTCAGACAGGCTAACCTAGAAGCAGCTTCTTCAGTTTGATGCAAAGTCGGACCACTCTTGGGTGAATCACATTAAGAAACCTCAAATTAACCCCAAAATCAAAGGACTTCAAAGAAATCAAGAAGACGAAGCCCACATAAGCCCATTTTCCACCATTTTGAGTGTTCTTGTGTGATTCACCCAAAAGAGCCTGTTTTTTGGAGAGGAAAAACCTGATGTGGATTTTTAACCCTACTTTTTTCTGTTGATATTGACTGTTTTACTGTTTATATATTTGGAGTCTATTGATGTATGTGTGCAAAATTAATCACTTATTGCCCTTTCTCAAATTTTTTTAAATATGTTCCCTTGATCTGATCCAGCCTCAGTAGACTATTATTAGTCTAATGTTAATTGCATTAATTCATGTTTTTATAGCAGGAGTCTCTTTTGTTGTTGGATAAATTGGATAAAAGCATCTGCCAAATGTAAATGTAAAAAGAAATTAAGTAGTATTTAGTATTAAAATATATGTTACCATTTAAAAGTTTTGGGAGTTTGTTTTTTTAATAATTATATCCAGTATTAAGCATATTTTTATATACATTTTTTAAATTAATATTCAGTATTAAGCACATTTTAACGCTGTTAAAACACTTTGGATGCCTCTTAGACTCCATAATGAAGCTCAATTTTGTCCGGTTCCCTTCTGCTTCACTCTCTGGACCTCTCTGAGGACGTTCTGTGAAACTGGTTAGCTCTCTTTGGAGTGGCCTGCAATCTGTCTCTGTACTCGCTGTTCAATCTCAGCATGTTCCTCGTTCCTCAAATGAATTAGACGCATTCAGAGAATCGCTCCTTTTTTTTCCAGGAAGGCATTTTATAGGAGCTGGACACCTTCAAACAACCACAGTAATAAAGACCAGATCTCCCTTTCACACACATATGCTCACAGCCTACTCACTAATGAGGGTGTTTAGCAACACATTAAGACATTTTCACATCAGTTCATCACTCTGTCTTGATAAATTGGATGACATTGAGTTAATTGAGCTGATGTTTGTGCAAATATACAAACATGAAAAGCTCATAATCGCTCTTAAGTGCTGAAAATTGGATCACCCCATGTGAATCTCTAGCTTTAAACACTTTTAAAGCAAAACAACCTGACACTTTTATCTCTGCGCTAAAACACTGTCTGCAGGAGTTCTGCATAATGTATGACAAATAAAAAAGAAGCCACCAGAAGTCAAACAGAAACAAAATATGGGAAATAATGAGCATGAATGTGTGTGTGTGTGTTTGTATTTGTGAAACAATGTGTGTGTGTGTGTGTGTGTTTCTCACCGTTAGCTCCAGTGATTGGTTGAGCCCATTTCGTTTGCTATGCAGGAAGGCGCTAGAGCTGCCACACTTGGAAATTCTCATTCGGGACAGTCGGGCTTTCTGTCAACACATACATACACAAAGGACGTTATAACTCAGTCCACATCACAAAGGTCTGAGTTTCAATCTGATCCCTGTTGAAAGAGCCATTCAGATCAAAGTACTTTAAGAGACAAAATGGATTTTCACATAGATTGCTGTCCGTCATGAGATGATGAAAAATGCAAGTGGCTTCAAACAACTACTGAACCAATTCTTGACAGCCATGCAGTGAAAATGTGCACAGATCAGGGGAGAAGAAAGCGGTTGCTTGCTCGCTCTACAAAGCATAAAAGAATGGTAATTTAGAGAAACGCAGCTGTGTAATGGTTAATTACAGTAAACGTCTTGTGTAATGCTGAATTACGGTTAGAGCAGCTGTGTAACGATAAATGATAGAGCAGCGGTTCGCATTCCCTCAGTCTATGTCATTTTTATAGGCACAGCATGGATGATTGGTGGAAAACCAGCAGTCAAATCCTCTGTGGAACATCAAATTTTAATATTTACAATGAATGAGAGTATTTTAATCTCCTCAGATCCAGAGGCATCAAATGATCTGATTTGCACTCTCATTCTCTCGTCATCTCATAGAAAACTGATCCTCTCTTTCGTTTCGGTTCCCTTAAGATGTAAGAAGCTTTATTGACATGATAAAAAGGGTTTACGTTGGCAAAGCATTAATAAATATGATGTATACACTAGATTTTTTTTTTGTGAATGTGTTAGGGTGTTGTGGGTGTTTCTTTGTGGTCACTAAGGTGTTCTGACTGGATTTTAGTGAATTAATTTGCAGTTGCTAAGTTAAAATGGTTGGTTTCTTGGGTATTTATAGGTTAAGTTAAAAGAGCCCATTTAAGTCTTTAATTTATTCTGGTCCCAGTGCATTGTGTTGCTCCTTCATATTTACACTATTTACACTAGCTATGCCACCAACGTGTGGTTGGGCTAGACAACATTACAAAAGACGCCTTTTAAACAATAGCTCTAGTGGTGTAGGTAGTAAAACGCATAGTAGAGACATTTTGACGTGATCGACCCGAGTTCGAATCCGCCTTTTGCCGAACTCGTTCTTCTCCCTTTTCACATCACGTATCAGATCGGAAAGGCATTTATTTTCAATAAAATGAAGGAAGTAATTGAAAAGTGGAAAATAAAGTGCCTCACGGGTGTTTATGGGTTAGGGGTAGGTGTAGGGAGGGCTTTATTGTCCAAAGAAGGTGGCATCCATTTAATAAAAAAGATAATTTACACTCAATACGTTATTACTTTTATAATGTACTTTAATACTGAGGTGCAAATATCTGCCACTTGCACTAAATGGTATAAATAGCATCTAACTAAGGCCCCATACGGAGATGCGTTTAGCTGTATACGTAAAAATTTTGTTTCGTAATGCCGTTTTATCCAGACCGATCTGGTGTTTTGGGAGCCTGAAACTGCTATTTTTTGAAACTGGGTCTCAGAGTGGATAAATCTGAAAACGACACCCTTGGGTTTTCGTGTGAACAGCCAATCCGTATATTTTGTGAAACGATGATGTCATCGCCCCATGTCTCGACCCTAGTCATGCACTGCTACGTCGTGTAACAGCAACAACAGCATGAACAAACACTGAATAATTGTCTTTTTATTAACTAACATTAAGATTAATAAATGTATTATTCCATGTTCATTTTCTTGTTGTGTTGGGTTTGTATACAGAGAGCAAGGTTTATGCACATGCTCCAAGTCGTCCTCCTCTCCGTTTTTAGTGTATCTCTGTGGCAGAATAACAGCGCCACATACTGGTCTGGCATGTATACTACATTGTTTTGAGTCTGTTTCGTGTGTACGCAGATATTTCTTGAGACGAGGAAAAAAAAAAAGATCGGATAAGGAAAGCTCTGGCTTCGTGTGGATATGGCCTAATATTGCAAAGAAAATACTGCTATTTTTACATAGTGTAAATAGCATCTATCGCTGCTGCCAGTAATCTCCAGGCAGGAATAATTTGTAAAAGTTAAATACATTTAAACAAAGAGAAAATTAACAAAATTAACTTCAAGCCAAATTATGCAGGATAATATAAAATATATGTAATTAATTTGATTAATATATCTTTAAGATTATTATTTTTTTTAAATAAATCTAACAAACTTTAACAAGGTTTATATGTAAAGCAATAAAAAAATGTGCAGCTAAAAAAAGAAATCTTATCATTTGTCAGGCAACAATAATTAGTAAAAATATTTAAATAGATTTAAAGCTAAATTATGGAGGATAAAATAGAATATTACATATAATCTGAGATATTATTTATTCTGTACACACACACACACACACGTGCGCACACACACACACACACACACACACACACACACACGCGTATCTTATATGTAAATATAAATGTATATGGTTTTTAAGGAATAGTTCACCCAAAATGAAAATTCTGTCATCATTTACTCACCTTTAGGTTATTCCAAGCCTGAGTTTCTTTCGTTTGCTGGACACAAAATATATTTTGAAGAATGTCACTTATAGTTGTTTATTCTTCAAAATATATCTTCTTTAGTGTTCAACCGAAGAAAGAAACTCGTATCGGTTTGAAACAACATGAGGGTGAGTGAATTTAATTTTTGGGTGAACTATTCCTTTAAGAATGTCTTGGAGAAGACGATAAAAATGATTATTATTTTATTTCCTGCAGTGTAGTATTAGTGTTTTAATAATCTAGCTGTGTTTTCATTCTCTCAAGCACAAAGAGGCTTTTGTGTGGCCCCCTATCAGGTGTGTAATAGGACCATGTAACTTGATTTTCTTGTTCATGGAGCTTGTCACCTTCACACACAGGTGGTAAGTGTTCATGGCCTGGACTGTTAATAGCACAGCTAAATGCTGGATATCAGCTCCATGGGTATAACAGCAAAACACTCAGAGGGAGACTAACAGTGTTTTGGACACCTATAGTCACAGTATGTTGTGAATAACACCACCTCTTGTCCACCGTTAGGGGTCATCGGCTTACCCACAATTGATCTAGGCCAATTGGCTGCTCTTTCTCGGATGCGGGTTCACAAATACATTTCATCCCAAGGAGTGTTTGTATGCGTGTGTGCATTTTTTAATTATTGAAGAGGAACAAATTGTGTCTCAGTTGCATCAGAGACCTTGCTGAGATCAAACTGGTATTCTGATGTTCATTAATTTCTCACACACACTTGAACACAGATTGAAAGAACATACACCATCATTAAAACCCTCACACACAAACACACACACACACACACACACACACACACGCACGAGTCCCTGGGTGAGTGGAGTGCTAACTCTGCTCTTTTCGCAGGAGATTGCCATCACATAATGGAATCAGTTTGGGCCTCTGAGACCGTTTGTGTTTCCAACAAATCCTGCAACAATTTTCGGCTATCGTGGAAAAAAATGAGGAACATTTTTCCTGGGGATCTGCCCCTTCAGAACATGAGATGGGGAGCGGCCGCAGTAATGCTGAGGTTCTTTATCAATGTGACACAGAATATCGCTGCTGAGAACTGTTGTTCAGGACTAGGCCAAAGCTAACCGCACTGTGCTGGGATCAGATAGGCCAAACAAAGCAGCAGCAAATTCACAGATTACATTTCAGTTATACACATAAAGCCCACTGTGACACACCTCGTGGCAGTGGTGAGGCCAGAAGTCTGCTCTCTAATTTCATCAGGAATATTATGACGCAAACGGCTTTATGAGGCAAATTTGTGGTCCGTGACCAATTTCAATTCACTGTAATCATATCAAAGTGTTCCTATTTAAATAAAAATACATTTTTCACACCATGTATTCAACAGAAACATAAAAATGGGCCATAAAATGCAGTTTCATGTTATTTCCAAGCTATTGCTATTCTGGTAGATTTGATTGGGTGGACAATATGTTAGTCCAGGTAGATGGTGTTCCTTCCCTTTTGAAAAATAAGGGCCCTGCTTAGCACGCTTTTAAATTACTTTTAATATGCTAATATGCTTTAAAGGAATATACTTGTGTGCAAACTGAATATAATGTTTTCAGACACTTAATTGCATGTTAATTGAACTTGAATGAATATTATAGTTTTCATTTATAATAAAGGACAACTATTATGCCCTTTTTTACAAGATATAAGTCTCACGTGTCCCCAGAATGTGTCTGTGAAGTTTCAGCTCAAAATGTCCCATAGATCATTTATTATATAATTTTGAAAATGCCTGTTTTGAGTGGAAGCAGAAACACGCTGTTTTCGTGTATGTCTATTTAAATGCAAATGAGCTGCTGCTCCTCTCCCCCTTTTCCAGAATAGGGCTGTGCCTTTACAGCTCTTACCTCAGATACTCTGTCAAAAAAACATCTGTTTGGTTTTGATTGTCTATCATGCTGAAAATATGCGTTTTAAAGCCATATCAGTTTAAGCTCCTGATGTACGGTTTTCTGAGCGCACACATCCGAGGCACGCGCACAGAAAGCGGCTGTCACATGGCATGTGAGCACTAAACAAAGTTCTCTTTCACACACAAGTTTGTTAAAAACACGCGTAAGTTACAAATACACATTAGGTTATGTTTGTGACATTAAACTGTTGGAAAAGAAATCACATGTTTATGTTAGATCTGTGCATTAAGTGACAGCAGCGTAATAGAATATAGCTTACCTATACTGCTGTCTATGCTGTTAATATGACCCAAACAATAAAATAAAAGCAGAAAATAACTCACTTCTCTGGACTGAATAACATCTATAGCTTTAATAAGAAGACATTTCTTACTTGAATCCTGCTTTTAAATGCTCTAGCACAGAGTTGGGCAAACTTTTTAGACCAGAGGGCCACATCAAGTTTTGCAAACCAAATGAAGGGCCGCATGCCAAATCCTTGATAAAATAACTTTTATTTACAGTGGAGGTATGCATGGAACATATATTATCTGACAGAAACATTTGTCACATTAACACATTAAACAAAAATTCTTATTTAATATCTATTATTGTGTCAAATTTACAACAGACAATCT